GCTGGGCTCACCTCTGACTCGATGGCGACCCCGCGTGCCCGTCCTCCTTTAGGGGTGGGGGCCCGGCTGGGGACCCCGCAGGCAGAAACCTGCGGCGGAGGGGGGCAGGCAGCCAGCCGGACCCCCGCTGGCCTGCCCCCGCCCCCCGGCCCGAAACGACGCGCCGCGAGCGACCGACGTGGCTGCACCCACCGCGGCATCAGGAATCCCCCCCGCGCGCGAAGTGGTGTTATGACAAGGCGGAGGCCGAAGCGGATCGGCACGAGTTCCCCGTCGACACCGAGCCCGGGGTGGAGAGCGGAGGAGCGAACGAAACCAGCCGTCGCTGGTCGAAAACCGATAACTCGTGCAGCTGGCGGCCCGCCCCAGCAGGATCGAGGTGTCGGGCGCTCTCAGAATTTCCCGGGCATCCGAGGACCTCGGGGGGACCCTCGGAGCCCTCTGGGGGGGAGACGAGGAGGAAGGAGGCGCCAACGAGAACGACGAGAAGGGAGAAGAGCGGGGGAGGAGGAGGAGGAGGAGGAGGAGGAGGCGGAGGAGGAGGAGGAGGAGGAGGAGGAGGAGGAGTCCATGGAGTTTATCCAAGGGCCTCTCCCCGCGGGCGGGGCACAGGCCGTCCGAAGAGGCCGACTCTGGCATAGGCAGGCACCTCGTCGCCCGCGACTCGCCGCCCAGTCGAGATGCTTTGGGTCGTGGGGGGGGGAGGAGGAGGAGGAGGAGGAGGAGGAGGAGGAGGAGGAGGAGGAGGAGGAGGAGGAGGAGGAGGAGGAGGAGGAGGAGGAGGATAAGGGGGGGCGAACACAACCTGTCCGACCCGCACCCTGCCAAATCGACTAGCATACGCAGCTGGGTCGGCTCCTCAGGGTAAGCGCCCAGTCGGGATGCTTTGGGTCGTAGGGGGGCCGAGCACAACCTGTCCGACCCGCACCCTGCCAAATCGACTAGCATACGCAGCTGGGTCGGCTCCTCAGGGTGAGCGGTCACGAGGCCCCATGGGATTTGCGGACCACGTGGCCCCGTCGCTCAACCGAATGCGCGCCTGCGCGCCACACACAGCGGGCAAGATGCCACGCTGCTGGTTCTTGACGACGCGGGCAAGATGCCACGCTACTGGCAAGATGCCCAACACCCCTAGAATGCAAGCTCTGGCCGACCGAATTCAGGCACGATAGCAGGCCCGAATGGCAGGAGCCGCCGCCGACAGCGGCTAAACAAGATATTAACACGGTTAGGCCTCTTGAGGACTGCGGGCCGGTTTGTCTGCTTCCTGCAGGCACACGGAATGGATACGGCTGCACCAGGATACGGACCCAGCGGAGCAGTGACTGCCACCCCGCCGCGGGGTGGCGGAGAAGGAAGAGGCGGAGAAGGAGGAGTCTGCGAGGAGGAAGGGGGAGGGAGAGCGAGGAGGACGAGGAGGAGGATGAGAAAGACCAAAGAAAACCCAAAATGCATCAACGATGATGCAAAAACACCCTCCCGTCCCAAGTCATCTCCTCACAAGTCCCTACAAGCCTTCCTTTCCAATTCAAGAAGCGCCCCCTTGAAAGACAAGCAACGCACACCATGGGCCTGCCATTTAGGCGACAATCCCGTTGTGAAAGGAACCAACCGCCTCGCATGCTTCCAGCTAGCAATAAGGAACGCGCAAAGACATGGCCATACAACTCGCCATATAGTTCAGTATCCAGAGATATCCCCGCTTGGGGGGAATGACTGCCCCCACCGATGTATGGCCATGGGCGTCGAATAAAAGATGAAGGAGGAGGAAGAGGAGGAGGAGGAGGAGGAGGAGGAGGAGGGGGAGGAGGAGGAGGAGCAGCAGCAGCAGCAGTTGGAGTGAAGGATCGGGCAGAGCAGGAGGACCAGGGGAAGGCGGAGGAGGACCAGGGGAACTCTGAGGCGTTTCCTCTTCCAATCCCCAGGGGGCGGAGGCTATCGTTGTTCCTTATTCACGTACACCGTCACCCCCACCCGACTGGGAGCGACCCCGGAGCCATGGCCCCCCCCTCCCTGCCTGCAAGAAAAACAGCACACACTGCGCACAAAATGCGGCAAACATCCGGACCACGCGCGGTCACCAGGCGATCGGTTTGCAGTTTTTTGTTGTTGGCGTGGGCGAGTTGGCGGCACATTGCCTGCTGCACGAAAGCCCATCACCCCTGTCCACAAAAAAATATACGACACACTCTTTCGTCGCGGCCGCGGGCGAAGGCGCCGACGGCGTCAGCAGAGTTAGCTCGGGCTACGAAACGAATATAAGAATATATATATATACACACACACGGCACACGCTATGCGGCAAAATGTTGATCATGCTCGGGCGCCCCGCGAGACGATGGCTCTGCCATGGCACACGCGGCGGACCTCGCGGGCGTCGCGCACCTGTCTGGCGTCTGCAGCGGTTCCCAGCAACTGCCCATGGCGACCCACGCTGATGCTGATACTTCGGTGGGAGGGCGGGCGGGGGTGAGCGACACGGTCGTCCTGTCGTCCGGGGGGGGGGAGGCGGACCCTTCCCCTTGCCCGCCCCCCTCTGGCTCTGGATGAGTGTGTCACGAGCGGTCAGAGGGCCCAAGAGATCCCGAAAGACGGCCCCGAGAGAACCCCAGATAGCCCAATATTGTCTCCAAGATGGCTCGAGGTAACACAAGATCGCTCAAGATGGCTCCCGACAAACCCAAAAAGGCCCCAAGACGCTCCAAGACGGGTCCAAGTGGCCTTGGGGGCTCCCCGAAACGCCCTCAAGAGGCCATAATCCGTACAGAACCATCGGGAATCAATGATTCGTCCTTCTCGCCATGTCGATGTCGATGACCTTCCGAGGCCTCTAGATGTCTCCAAGCGGGCCCAATAGAGACCCGAGGTTTCCAACACGGCCTCAAGAGCGCCCGCGAGCGCCCAAAAAGCGCGAGAAAGGAACGCTGTGGGGCCCTCCTCTTTCACAAGCAACGAACGAATCATCTGAATCAGTAGTCCGCTCTTTGTAATATGATTTGACAAAACACCCCGTCCGAATTGGATGGTAATCACCTGTGGCCTTAGGGCACGATGCAATCGCATTCTAGGCGGAGGCTCCGTAGGCTACTCGGACGCTTCAGGAAGCTAGAGGGACGGAGGGAGGAAACAGGAAAAACATGACAAACAATAAAAACCATGTATTTTCACATGGAAAAACAAGAAAAACTCGAAAAAGAGCGACAGTCACAGGTTTCGCTGTTTTTTTTCTTGTTTTTCCCTGCGAAAACAAATCGTTGTTTTGGTTTTTCCTGTTGTTCCTGTTGTCTCCTCTTCCGCTTTGCTGCGAGGGAGGGCCGTGGGCCGCTCAGAGACCCCAGGGCGCTGAGGGGAGGAGAGAGGAAAACAGGAAAAACAGGAAAACCATGAAAACCATGTGTTTCCATATGGAAAAAACAAGAAAAACTTTTTTTAAAAAAGAAAGAAGAGAACAAAAAAAAAAAAAAAAAAAAAAAAAAAAAAAAAAAAAAAAAAAAAAAAAAAAAAAAAAAAAACGCTGCTTGTTCCTGGTTTTTTCCGTGTGAAAACACTTGGTTGTTTTTGTTGTTACTGTTGTTCCTGCTTTCCCCTCTTCCGCTCTGCTGCGGGGGAGGGCCGTGGGCCGCTCAGAGACCCCAGGGCGCTGAGGGGAGGAGAAAGGAAAACCGGGAAAACATGAAAAACATGAAAAACCCTCCGTTTTCACATGGAAAAACAGGAAAAACATGAAAAAGAGCGACAGTCACAGGTGTCGCTGTTTTTTCCTGCTTTTCCGTGTGAAAATATAAGGTTGTTCTTGTGTTTCCTGTTTTTCCTGTTTTCCCCTCTTCCGCTCTGCTGCGAGGGAGGGCCGTGGGCCGCTCAGAGACCCCAGGGCGCCCCCGCGTTCCTTCTCTTCCTCCTCCCCCCCCCCCCCGTTCCTCTGCCTTCTCCTCCTCCTCCTCGTCCGTTTCCTCCTCCTTCTCCTCCTCCTTCTCCTCCTCCACCTCCTCCGCCCCCCTGCCAATCCCCCCTTCGGCTGCCATGGAGCTAATCGCCGACGTATCATAACTCTTGAGCACGCTTCTCAAAGCGCGTGGTCGCCACGAGCAACCCGCATTGCAGTTATTTCTGTTTTTTTTTATGCAGGTGCAAGATCACGCCAGCGCTGCTCACTTGAGTTTGCGCCCCCTGGACTTCGCAGTGGAGCGAGCAGATCGGCATGTCGACGAATCCTTCTCAGCGGCATTCCACATCTCACAAAACTCGCTAACCCAGAAGCGACGGCTTGCGGGCCGCAAATTATTCAGGAAGAAGCTGGCGGAGCGAATCCAGCTGTGAAAAATCTCAGGAAGCTCAGACGGGAGGCATTTCGCGCGCGTCGTCTCCGCCTTTGTCCACTTGCGCTTGCTGCACTTGCGGTTCTTCAAGTGAAACTTACCGATCAGGAAATACGTCACATTACGGAAGAACGCTGCGTGGTTCTTCTGCACGTGCTGTTCAGAATGGCACGCGTCATCGTGGAACAGCAAATCAGCGCGGACGTTCGGCAGCCTCATGACCGCCTTGACGACGCGCAGCTTGTCCGCCATATTCTCGCTGTGGGAATGCCCAGTGGCCCCCAACAGTAGCCGGGGTTGCGGATCAAGAACAGACTGCCACCCAGCAGCGTGTCCACGCATCGCTGGGCGAGCCTTGTCCCTGTCGGCGCACGAAGCAGTCCTCTCGTCCCCCCTGCATGCCAACTTCCTCTTCCGACCGCGCGCGGCGGCTGGCTCTGGGACGTCCGCGCCGCCCTGAAGATCACGGTGCACACCGAAATGTCCGTCGAAGCCCAGCGCGCGCACCTCGCAGGCAGGGGGGTACGTTAAAGTCTTCTTCACATGCCATTGCAATTCTGCAGGGCATTCCACGTCGAAGGGCACCACGTCCGCCGGGGACCGACGGGCCACGGATAATCCCTCCAGCGCGCGAAGCAAGTGGTCACGAAGCGATATGCGACTCAAGAGCTCGCCCTCCTGAGAGCACCGTTGCTCATGAACGAAGAGATGCCGAGCGGCTGCTGCCTGCCCAGGGGCGTTCTCGGCTCGCAGGAGCCGCAGACGCGTCAACGCCAAGTAGTCGTACGAGAAGCCAAGTTTGTCGGTGACAAAATATACTCCGCGAGCCTTGACCTCTTCGAAACTCGAAACGTTGCACTTCCGTTCCTGCTGCCAGCCAAAATTCGGTCGGAAGGATGCGCCACAATTGCGGCTGCAACACCTCTTTCGGCTCGTCCAAGCCGTCGCGACGGCATCGCTGCCCAGGATGGTGCACAAGGCTGTCTTGTCTGGCGCTTTCAAAGAACAACCGCAGAACGCGCACTGCTTCAACTTCGAAACGTAATTCTTGCCAGCTGCCCCGCCCAACCTGTCGAAGAGGTCCGTCGAGAACGACGCGTCGTGCTTCGACCCCACGGCGTCCAAATGCTCGGCCAGAGCGCCCAAACTGGATTGATGAAGCCGCAGGATGCCTCCGTCCAACATGAGAGCATTCACGTAGCACTCTGGAACGTGTTCTTCCAGGCCGCCAACGAAGTCGCTCATGATCTCCTCCTCCACGGCAGCCAGCGCAAAGTGGAGGCGAGACGCGCGAGGGTTTGGCCTATCAGCGAAGCGGCGCCTCAAATATTCAAAACGAGGCATGTCCAACACGAGATCCACGGCCGCGCGAAGCTGGACTGAGCGATTCCACAGAAACGGAATGTCATTGGACGGCCTGCCCAAGTGGACCAACCGAATCAACATCTTCTTAGCTGCTTTCAATGGTATCTCGCAGTACTGCACTAGAAACTCTCGCCAATGCTTGTAATTCTTGACGAAGCTGATGAGTACTTCAAAATCAGCTAAGTCTGTCACTGCTTCTCTAAGCAGATTGAGCAGGATTGCGGGATAGCAACTGTTGATGTCCACGTCGGCAAAAATCAAGCCGCCTCCAGCCGACGACCCGATGGTGCTGATGATGATGGCGTTGATGGTGGTGGTCATGATGACGATGACGCCGATGATGATGATGATGATGATGATGATGATGATGATGATGATGAAGCCGATGATGATGATGATGCGAATGCACAAATTGCGAGACAGGAGGGCCCCACAGCGTTCCCCTCTCAAAAGCGCCTTAAGATGCCTTCCAACATGGCCCTAAGAAGGCCTCCGAGGCTCCCAAGACGGCCCCAAGACGGCCCCGAAACGCACTAACAGGCCCGCAAAAATGGTCACCAAGAGGCCCCAAAGAGCCTCCCAAGAGCCCCCAAGAGGCCCCCAAGACGCCCTAAGAGGCCACCAGCAGCCCTCCAGGAAACACCCAAAACGACTCCAAGAGGCATCAAAGAGGTCGCTAATTCACTGAAGTCCCCCGACATATCCAAAATATGCCACGCTCCACCGTTCAGCGCAGCTTATCTGAGCACCGTTCCTGGATTGGCTGGTCACGATTTTTTAGTCCGCGGCCGCAGGCGAGCGTGCCAGCGGCGGGTCCAGTCAAAGCGGGGCACGCAACGACGAATTAACCTAAAGCGACGGGGTGCAGCCTCACCTAAAGCGGCGGGGCGGAGCCTCACGCAGCACCTCAGCGGCGGACCGGCGAGCGGAGGGGGTTGGCTGAAGCTGAGTAGTACTGCCAGCGTGCATGTATGCAACGCGTCGGGGGCGTCAAGTAGTCGGGAAGACCGCCGACCAGGGACAGAAGCCGAGTAATTAGATGCAAGGGCGCAAGCCCCCAGACTACTGCGAAAGTACCAGGGTTGCCGCAGCCAAGTGGACCGACTGTCGGAAGTCAAATTGGTGCCCGGTGTGGGCATGAGCGTTGGCAGGCTGCGAGGTACCAGCCGAAGCCGCCAAGTCCGACAGCAGCAGAACGCACGAGTGCGAGAAGCAGCCAAGCTGCCGCGCGGCCAAAATGGCGCGGGTCACCACGAACAAGTGCATGGGGTGGCGCCAGCAAAGTCGCACACCAGAAGCCCTGAAAAGGACGGATCACGCGCCAGAAGTCAGCACACCGGAAGTGGCGACAGGCGAGCACCGACACCACGGGGAGAACCCGGGACTAAAACCAGGGTTGCAACCGCGGCGTGGCGGGAACACGGAAAGTCTAGGCTGAACCACAGACGACCGTGGGCCCCATTGGAGGGCAAGTCACGATACGCGAAGCACTACGAATTCTGAAGAGGAGCTGCCCTTCAACCGCGCAGCAGCTGCATGCGTTCAAGCGTCTGGTCGTGAAGTCCACAGAAGTCTCCAACGAAAGCCCCACATTGAAAAAGAGCCGCCCACGGCTCCTGTAAATGTTGCAGATTTTTAAACGAATGGGCGCGGCGATAAGGTGAGAGCTCCAATTTGAAAACAAGCGCCCTCCACCATTCACACTGGTGCAAGCTTGTACAACGAATGCGAGCGGTGACAAAGCGAGAGACCCCATTTTGAAAAGGACCCGCCCTCGATCCTTGAAATTGTTGCAAAACTTCTAAGACGAGTGTGATCGCGATAAGGCGAAACATCCGTTTGAAAACGGCCCCCCTCTATCCTTGAATATGTTGCAGATTGCATGCTTCAAGGTCATAAGTGACGAAAGGGTTTCCGGCGAAACCCCTGGCCCGCCATACGACATACAAAGGAGGAGGAAAAAGAACGAGGAGCCGGATGAGGAGGAGGCCAAAGGCCACGGCCAGCGCAACCCCTCCCCCCCCGGAAAACATGCACTGCTCCCCCCTCCGCGTAACGTCCGCCACGAAGGGGGGGGGCGGCCAGGCCACGGGGGGAGCGGCAGCGCAGCGGGCCCCATGTGAGCAATAGCACCACAGCGTGTGGGGTGCGGGGGAAGGGGCCAAACCACCCCCCGGACACTCGTTGCCGCTACGGGGGTGGATGAGGGGGGCCTCCCCGCACCCCTCCTCCTCTTTCCACCCCTCCCTTCCCCCTCCCACTCTCCCTCGCTTCACGGCGAAGAGGGGGAGAACGGCGAAGAGGGGGGAGAGAGGAGGACGGGGGAGGGGGAAAACGGGGATAGGGAGGAGGAGGAGGAGGAGGAGGAGGAGGAGGAGAAGGAGGAGGAGGAGAAGGAGGAGGAGGAGGTGGAGGAGGCGGACGACAGGGGAAGGACGAGCTTCCAAGGCCAGTAGCATTCTGGACCTAAGTAACTGGTTGTCACCCAGGGCCATCCCCAGGCACCCAGCACCGTCACGCCCCACCATCCGAACCCGTCTGCATCCCACACCCCAGCCTCGTCCCCAGCTCGTCCCCGCCCCCCTCCTCCTCCTCTCCCTCCTCCTCCTCCTCCGCCTCCTCCTCCTCCTCCTCCTCCTCCTCCTCCTCCTCCTCCTCCTCCTGCTCCTCCACCCCTTTTCCCTATATAAATAACTTCCCCCTGTCGCACCCCGAGGCAAGCTTTTAGGGCCGCCCCTCCCTGCACTGTCCCAGCCCGTTCGGCTGCAGGAGGATGGCGGGAAGGAACAGGAGACGGACGAGGAGAAGGATCGTCGGCCGAGGAGCAGACTGAGGAGGAAGAGGGGGAAGAGGGCAAAGGGGGAGGGAGAGAGGGAGGGAAGAAAATGGAGGAGCCCCGTGCCTCGTAGCCCATGCCCGTTTCCCCGTACGGGTTCCAGATGACCACGTCCTTCCAGCCGCTGCCGTTGATGATATCCAAAGAACCCTGAGAAGGGATGGGCGAAGCTGGTCGGTATGGGCGATGACAAAGATGTTAATCGAGACACCAGGAAGAACGACTGCGATGAGGGCGACATAAAGATATGCATATAGAGAGAGGGGGGGAAGAGAGATAGAGAGAGAGAGACACACACACAGAGAGACAGGGGGAGAGAGAGAGAGAGAGAGAGAGAGAGAGAAAAAGAGAGAGAGAGAGAGAGAGAGAGAAATAGAGAGCGAACAAAAACGTCTAACAAACAGTAATATAGGGAAACAACAAGGAGAGGGAATGGGAGAGAGAGAGAGAGGGAGAGAGACATAGAGACATAGAAACAGAAAATCACAGAAACAGAAAAGCAGAGAGACAGAGAAACAGAGAGGCAGAGAGACAGGGACAAAGGAAAACATAGACTTTCACCTCGCGCTTGCGGAACTGGGGTCCACACTCATTCACACCGCATGGAACAGCTGGGGCACGTCGTAAAAATCCGGTGGTGCAATCTAGGGTGCCATCGACAACTCGTCGCAGCCTGTCCGTATCAGCAATGAGCAGCGAAGTTCAGCCCGCCCAAGATAGTCGGATGGGACTCCTGCTCCACCCCCTCGTCCAGCAGGACGTGGAGGGGAAAGGAGGAGGAGGAGGAGGAAAGGAGGAGGAAGAAGCAGAAGTAGGATGAAGGAGGAAAAAAAGAAGAAGGAGGAGGAGGAAGGAGGAGGTGGAGGGGAAAGGAGGAGGTGGAGAGGAAAGGAGGAGGAAGCAGAAGCAGGATGAGCGAAGGCTGCCCCAAGGCGGGGGCGAACGCGAGGCCTGCGAAAAAGTGCTCGCGGCGAGCGCGGTGGTGGACACGAGAGCGGTCGCCACATCAGCAGACAGAAGACAGCGGGTCAAGGACAAATACGGGAACCTTTTCAGAACAAATGCTGCTACTGTACGCGAGAAATGCGGGAGAGACTCCTCCGCTTACTCCCCCTCCGGGGCACGGGGAGGGAGAAGGGGGAGACAACGAGGGGCTAGCGCGGGGCATGAGAGGGGGGCGAGGCGAACGGGAGGACGAAGGGCAGGAGGGGAAGGAGAAAAAGGAAGAGAGGGAGGAAGAGACAAAGATGGAGGTGGAGAAGGAAGAAAATAGTGACAAGGGGGAGGAGGAGGAGGAGGAGGAGGAGGAGGAGGAGGAGGAGGAGGAAAGGGAGGAGGAGGACGACGACGACGACGAGGGAAGAAGAGAAGGAGGAGGAGGAGGAGGACGGAGGAAGAGGGAGGAGCGCAGCAGACGAGGAGAGGTTAAGAGGAGCAGGAGCAGGGGGAGGAGGGAAGGAGGGGGGAGGGGGGAAGAGGAGGGATGGGGGACGGAGGATTGGAGGATGCGCCGCCAGAAGATGTCCATATCCACAGCCGCGGGGTCGTGTCCTCAGGACTCGCTGAGCTCCCAGGGCCCGACTCGGAAGCAGCGGATGTGGACATATTCTGGCGGTGCTCCTCCTCCTCCTCCTCCTCCTCCTCCTCCTCCTCCTCCTCCTCCTCCTCCTCCTCCTCCTCCTCCTCCTGGAGAGGAGGGGAAGAAGGGAGGAGGGAGGATGCTTCCCCCATCTACCCACGCTAACCACGCTCAAGAGGAATGAGCAGCTCCGTGAGCATAATGTGGCTGCCTGGGGCGCAGAGGACGCAAAGAGGGGAGCATCACATCCACGCTGCGGAAGAGTGCGTCCAAGCGCTGTCCTACAGTCACCTTCTCTCGGCAGGAGGCACGCTGGAGCTCGAAAGATGTGCCATGGACCGAGCCTGCCGACGGGCGCAGCGCACGAGATCCCACGCGACTCTGAAGATGCACGCGATCAGCCTGTAACGATGTGAACCCGTCTGTGACGCTATGGGGCGCGGGTGCAGCGGTACAGGCTTACGCGTGCCAGGGGAGAGAGGTGGAGGCTTGGAAGGAAGGAGGAGGGGAGGGGAAGGAAAAAAAGGAACAACCCCGTGGGGATGTTCTCGCACGCAAAGAACAAAACAACCAAGAACAGCATCAAAGAAACATAACAAAAAGAAAACCACAGGGCGCAGTGGCCACCTGGACCTACTGACTGGCCACAAGCGGGGGGTCCCGCCTGAGAACCACTCAGCGCCCCTCAAACGGGGACTCCACTAACGGGTACTTTGGCCAGTGACCCAGCGAACCCAACCCCTCCCGATGTGGGCAACGCTGCAATGCCAGAAAAAGGCCCTAAAGTGGCAACTTTCGGCGAAATTTCAAAGTACCCGTTAGTAAGTACCCGTTACGGCGCCGTTGAACCACGACGGGCCACCACACCCTGGACAAAACCGTGAGGGGACTCTCGGGCCTTTTCCTCGCGGAGGCGGATCCGCCCCTCGAGGGCAGCAAGGCGCTGCTCGTAGACAGAGCTGGAACTGGGTGCCGCTGCAGCCGGCACTGCCGCTCGAGCCACTGGCCTGGCGGCCGGACAACAGCAAAGAGGTCCCTGCCCGCCGACGAGAGCTCCAGGAACTGCCCGGCTCGGTTGCCGGGGCCCGCTGCGCGGGTGCACTTCTGGGGCACCTCGGTGGCTCTCTCCGCGACGGCCTCCCGCAGACGTTTTGCGTCGCGGCGCGGCAGCGCGGCAGAGGCAGTCCGCACGCGCGCTCGCGGCACTGCGAGTTGCCCGGATGCAAGCGGGGGAAGAGGAGGGGAAGGAACGAATGCGCTCACGCAGGGGTGCACGGCCTCACACACACACACATTGCCGAGTTCCCGATCGTACCTCTGAGCCCAACACCCACAACGTACGCACAGAAACTGCAGCATGATCGCCGTGGCCCGAGCTCGAACTGGTTGGTGCCTTGGACAACATCTGGGCGAGGGACAGCAGCATCTTCATACTAAGCGACCTGGAGCGACCTGCTGTGCTCGCAGAGACCTGCGCCTTCTGTGTTTGCTGCTGCCGTGTCCTCGCCCTCGCGCCGCTTCACGCGGCTCTCCTCTGGCTCCTGCGCGGGCGCGCCCGCGCCACCGGTGAGGACCAGGGGCATCGCGAGCAGGTGAGCCAGTAGCACCCGCCACCGAGAATGAACCACTAGCCATCGGCCGATCCCTGCGCTCTCGAGGCTGACGACCACAGGATGTGGAGGGGGATGGCATTCAACAGCATGTTCATAATAGTCATCTAGTGTGTCGAACTCCTTGGAACACATCTGGCACTTCAGGGATTTGGGCAATGCGGAGTCCCAAGAGAGAAAGCCGCCCTCTGGAGTGTTCACCTATTCGTAGGCCAGGCCGTACGTGGATGCTGGCGAGCACTATCCTTAGTAGAGGACGACGTACGGCACCAGGGACATACTTTCGCCAAGACAGTCGAAAACAGTGGGTTGAGCTTGCCATTTTCACCGCCTACAGATCTGGATAGATGAGCCCCAAGACTCTAACTGTCGGAGACACGTATTTTCCTTGGAGCCCGCGAGATTACAGGAGGGAGGAGGGAGGTGGGTGGAGGAGGGAGGAGGAAGGCGGGAGGCGGGACCCAGACATCCGACGTCTCGATTTTTTCGAGACGCGGGCCCCCGACCTCCCGACCACTTCCCCGGGGCCGGTTTTTCCTCCCGAGCCGTTTTCTGGCGGTCCCGAGGCCCGGCGAGGGCCCCGAGAGACCGAAAACGACGAAAAACCTCCGTCTCGATTTTTTCGAGACGCCCGATGTTTGGGGAGGAGGAAGGAGGAAGCCAGAGTGGACACGCCCAGCCTTGGCGGGGTCGGTGAGGCGGCAGATGCCCGGCAGCACGTTGCTGTAGATCTCCTCGGTGAACGCGCCGATCTTGACGACGTCGGAGGTCGCCGCCGAGATGGCGGGGGGGTT